CACTTAATAGCGACCACTGTGTTGCCTGAAATCAGCCTGTGTAGAGGCCTTCCTGGATCTGCAACTTGACCCGCGAAAAATGGCAGGCACATGTGCTCCAAGCAGCAATCTAGATACCAACGCAATCCTCTTCAGCTCAGCAGCTCCCCACCAAGCTGTGTATTTTTCTGTCACTGAAGGGAAACCCTAACCCTAAACCCTAAGCTATTATTAGTCAGCAGGGGTTGGGTAGGTGAAGCTGAAGCACTCCGAGTAGTCAGTGTCGGGGCAGCCATGGATCCTGATTGTTTGGCGGACAATAATAACAACAATGGCTGCCCTTAACAAGGCAAGGACCCATGTCTTTCTGGGTTTAACTCTTCCTTCTCCACAGTCGGGCCGAGGTCTCCGCCAGATCTCCATCTCCGTCGCTCTCGCCACCGGCCGCACTCACATGCTCAGAGCCCAGCCAGTGCGGGTTAACCTGTGATTTGTTGCCGGCCAGAAGAAGATTCCTTCCCCTGTTGCTCACACTCACAGCTACTTCTGTAGGAAGGAGGACAAGGTCCAGGTATTGCACGGTCGTTGGCCATGGCCTCCAAGATTGGTTTCAGTCTACATCGCTTTGACCTCGAGGGGGATGACATGTGCCAAGCCCCAGTTTTCTTGCATTCTGTTGGGTAAGGCAGGTTAAGCTGCATTGTTCAGAGCCTATCATCTGGCTCACTGTAAAGTGTAACCTGGGTGAGTACAAGAATGCCGTTGTATTCTTGGAAGAAACACATTTAACATGTGACTCGAAGAGATCCTGATTCCTACCACCCCATAAACGTATGTTAATATGCCTTCCCAAGGAGGCCAAGAACCTTCCTTCAGTTCCAATAATGCCCGCATCTCAGGATCATGGTTGTGCAGGCCTCGCAAAAAATGGCCAGGAAGAAGGCACACGTAGGGTTGACCGGGGGGGGGGGGGGTTCAGGACTTAGACGAGACAGCTCCGAAGCTGAGCAGAGTCTCCAAACCTTTGTAGCATGCCGCTTTTGCTGCACAGGTCGCGACTGCAGCCAGTCTTCTGTGACCTTTGTTGACACCTTCTTTGATCTTCGTCCCTACACCCTGAACCCTAAACCCTAAACTCCGTAAACCCTGAGATATAAAAAAAACCTGAGCTATGACGAGAGGACAAGAAGATCGAGATCTCGCCCCGGCTCCTGAAGTTGTCGGAGCCACGCGCGGTCGGCCCAACCAAGGCGCGCCACTGAATTGCTGGTTTTGTCATTTGACATAGGAAGCTGCCTAGACCCTTGGGAGGATCCCAAAAGTACAAGGCCCCAAATAGTACCACTTAGGTCATTCTTAGGAACCCTTAAGGGGATCTACTTTTGGATCCTCCCATTTGTCTGGGTGTGTGTGGCTGCTCTAAACCCTAAACCCTAAACCCTTGACCCTAAACCCTTAGTACCAGCCTCCAAAGGCTACCGAACCCGATGCCTTATGCTCCGCGAACCCCGAATCGAAACTTGGAACCCTAAACCCTGAGCCCTACTCCCTAAAGCCTGAACCTTAAACCCTAAACCCTAAGCCCTAAGCCCTAAACCACCCTAAATCCTAGCCTGTAAGCCGCCTAGGGAACCACCCACCTTGGAAGCGACGCATGCAATGCGTGATGGCCTCAGCTTACAGGATGTGCTCAAGGGCCCTCAGCTTGCAGGATGTTAGGGTTCAGGGCTTCGATAACGCCTAGCAAGTCAGGTCCTGCTGTTCTCCGGTTTTCCCCTGCCCACGTGTACTCATCAGACGGCGGCAGGACGCTTAGACCGTCATGTGCTCCTTGCTCATTGCTCAGCAGCTGCTGTTTCCATTGGCCTTCTTGTTATGCAGCATGGCAGGGCCACGTTGACTTGGAGCCGGTTGGGTCGGACAAGGACAGATGGGTCTGCGCTGTGCACATGACAGCGGCACTCAAGGAATCAGGGTGTGTGTGTGTGTGTGTCTGTGTCTGTGTCTGTGTCTGTGTCTGTCTGTTTCTCTGTGTCTGTCTCTGTGTGTGTGCAGGGTTAAGGGTTTAGGGTTTAGGGTTCAGGGTTTATTAGGGTTTAGGGTTCAGGGTTTAGGGTTTAGGGTTTTGGGTTTAGGGTTTAGGGTTTAGGGTTTAGGGTTTAGGTCTGTGTGTGTCTGTGTGTGTCCTTCTGCCTTTGATTGTTGTTCTGTGAAATGGCACGCGCGCTGCCTTCACTTGCCCGGTCGTCACCGCAGGTTTGCAAGCTCAGGGAACAGGCAGGTCTACCATCCACGGGCCTGGGTTGCTGGCAGTCAAATATCACCGACAGTCAGGTCTAGGAAGCAACCACATTTACTACACAAACAGTTATGGCGCAGCGTGAACATCATGCGCTATGATTGCAGCAAGCCACAGTTAGTTCTAGAGACCGGTTTTGGAACCGCCACGGCCGTGGTCCCCGGCCTTGTGACATCGTGGCACGACACTTAGGTCTGGAGACCGGTTTTGGGTCCTGGCACGACACATAGATCTGGAGACCGGTTTTGGTCATGGCCGTGGTCCCCGGCCTTGGGTCCTGGTACGAGACGACCCGCGCACAGATGCTGGATGCCAGGAAAGAGGTGGGCGCAAAGCTACGTTGGCCTGGTCTGACTTTGCCGCCTCTGCGCTTGGGGTCTGACTGCGCTGGTCTGGAGGCGGCAGGGACAGCGCTCAAGGCCATGAAGGTGAGGCATGACTTGGTCTTCGCCTCGGACGCCTCTGCGGCCAGTCGGGCATGGCTTCGGACCAATCACAGGCCTGGAACCCTGTGGTCCGACATGTTCAAAAGGCCACGGTCTGAGGTCTCCAAGGCCAAGGTCCAGGTCTACACGGCCGGCTTCAGCTGCAAGCCCTGGTCTCGGCTGAATGGAGATGGGCGGTTCTGGGATCACCCAGAGGCCGGGCTCTTTGAAGAGTCCTTGCGGACCATTTCGGTCTGCCAACCGCCCTGCGCGTTCTTGGAGAACGTGGTGGGCTTCGGCCGCGTCTGGACCCAGGCGCTGCGCATCATGCAGAAGCATGTGTGCAACTACAAGGTCAGGGTGGTCAGATTTTGCTCCAGTGACTTGGGCAAACCCATCCGGCGGCCTCGCCTGTGGATTCTTTTGGTCCGTGAGGACGTGGACTTGTGCAAGTCTGAGGCGGCCTTTGCCCAGGTGGCGACCAGAATGATTACTGCGGCGGTCACCCACAAGGCTGGCCCCAGGACTTTGTCGGACTACTTGAGAGAAGGACTCCTGGCGTTAATAAAATGACATACTTGTTCTTTTTTTTGACATCATTGCTGTGAAGGAGTCCTGGCGTTAATAAAATGACATATATATATATGTGTTTCTGAACAACACTCATTGCTGTTCTGAACCCTCGCAGTGTGGGCATGCCTGAGGTCGCCTGTCCACGAGGTCCTCGTCCGGCTCCTCTGCCATGGTCAAGCCCAGAACTGGCGTGCAGAAGTACGGCCTGAAGCGTGGCTTGAAGTGGAAGGCCCGTCATGAGCTCTGGAGGCAGACGCAGAACGGGCAGCGTTCCCTTCCTCCCCTTCGGACCTTGCCGGGTCTCCTGAGGCGTGAGCAGGAGGTCCTTCAGGCCGCCGAGGCCAAAGCGCGTGGGCAAGGTTGGCTGGGCAAGTCCTACGTGTTCTGCGATGTGTCGCAAAGCATCGACCGAGCTCCCGGTGGCCGGAACTGCTGTTCATGCCTCAGTGCATCCGGGTTTAGGGTTGAGGTCTTAGGATTTCGGGTTTAGGGTTTAGGGTTCAGGGCTTAGGGTTTCGGGCTTTGTCACCCAAGGGAAACCCTGACCCTCAAGCTATACTCGGACGCATGTCGTGTGGCGTTAACTTTCTGCTCAGGGTCAGAAACGAGTGGTCGGAGGGCTTACATGATAAGGAACGGAGGGTGTGCGTGCTGCTGTCACTCAGGGGTTGGAGTGTAGTCACTGGACGTGCCACGGGATCAGCCATGGATTCGGATGATGAGTGGCTGTCGGAATTGTTGGCGGGGCCATCAACCACTGACGACTCGTCCGCGTGGCTTCAGGAGCTTGTGAACTCAGCAAAGGCTGGTTTCGGTCCCAGCTCTTTGGCTACCTATGAGAAGAAAAACTAGGCATGTCTTTGTTTGTTGTGGTTGAAACAAAATGCCCTGAATGCTTGCCACATGCCTGTGCACATGTGCAGGGCAGCCAGAGCACGGAGAACGTCCAGCAGCCGTGCAAAGCATGAAAACCTCCATGGGGACGAAGTTAGTCTCCCCGAACTATTGGAAAACGTTGGTACCGCCAGCTTTGGTCCAATTGCCTGGTATCATGGAGGCCATCCAGCCGATCATGCTGGAGTCGGACGTGGCCCTGGACGTCACTCCGTTTACATTGGCTTCGAAGGTCTTAGATCACGCGAATACGGTCATACGTGGGTTCCCGTCTCACTGCCTCTTCAAGATCGGGCAGACCTGCCGCCCAGTTCACCGGTGGACAAACCGGCAGTACGGGTACAAGCACGCGTGTGACCAGTGGACCCTACTTCCGCTATGGTCCAAAATGAGGATAGTGGGGGTCTTGGCCCACGGCGAGAGTGCCGGTTTTATGGAGGCTGCGCTAATTTCAGCTTGGTCTTGCGATTCAAGGTGCCTGAACCAGGCAGGTGGCGGCGAAGCCGTCGCGAAACAAGAGGGCCCATTCTTCGTTTATGTTGTTGTGTCCCATTCGCGTTGAAGCCGGGGACCGACACGTTAGTGAGCACACGTGATGTCCCTTCTTCTAGTAGCAGGAATGGGCCCAATGGTCTTCAATCACCTACTCATACGACTCCGGGCATGTCATATACTAAGGTCTTTTTCGAACGTATACATAGCGTGCTGACTCTCTGGGCCTGAGGCACCGGAAGCTGTGCAGCCCCGTGCTCCAGTCTCCCAACTCTTGCGTGCGTGCGGCATGACCCGCGCTTTGCGAAAAAAAGGCAGGTGAGTGAGTGAGGAACCTCATGACAATGAAGCCCCTGTTAAGCAGCAAGCATTGTCCAGGCATGCCGGTCTCTCTCTGGGTTTTACGTCCCCGTGCCTCTGCCCCTGACTCCAGCTCAGGTCCCACGATCACCGGGTCCAGCAAGATCGTGGTTCTTCCGCCCCAGGGTGCGGCCAGTGTGTTGACGGCGCGGCAGAAGTTGCAGCTCTTGGGTCAGCCGTTCGACTTGATCGAGGTCCCGCCCGATCTGGAGGAGACGGCTTTGTCCAAGCTGGCCGGCAATTGTCAGGACGTACAAGCTGTTGCTGTGATGTTACTCCTCTGCCTGGGCATTGTGCACTGGGACGCAGCGTCGAAGGGTCCTCCGTCCCGGTCTCCTGCAAAAACATGGTGTGCCCCTCCCAGGCTATACTTTTGGCGCAAAGGCACTTTGGTCGATCAGGCCAGCAGCAAGACCAGGAAGAATGTGAAGAAGAAGGGCCTGAAGATCAAGAAGCCACAAAGGAAGCGGGAGAGTGCCGCCTCAGCCTCCGGTCGGAGCAAAGCAGCCAGCAGCGGTACGCGAAGCCAGACGACGGTCGGTCGGTCTCAAAGGTCTCCCTCAAAAGCGGGGAGCAGATTCAAGGACATTTGTTGAAAAAAAGGTGCGCGAAAATGAACTAAAGAGCTTGGCTGATTCTTTCCATTCTTGCTGTGCTCTCGCAGCGTTCGCAGCATGACCGTTCCGCGGCGCAGGACCGAAGCCTCGCAGTGGTGCCCGTGGCCAAGTCGTGGCTCGCTCATTCCAGATGGCAGGTGTACAGTCCTATCACGTCTATCTTGTCGAAAAACTCAGGCCTCCGATCGAGGGCTGGTTTGGGCCCAGCCTGGCCCTCAGAGGAAGGGCTCCCAGTTCTCTCAAACAAGGTTGCTTTCTGGGCATTCGACCGGGCCTCTTTAAAACAACATGCCTCAATGAGAGGGCTGGGCAGGCCCACCAAGAAGGGTGGCAGGGTGACGTCACCCTGCCCTGGTTTTGGGGTTGCTGGGAGCTTCCCGTTTGGGCTTGTTTCGCAGAGGGCTGTTTCGGTGGGAAGAGGTGTATCGGGGAGGTCCAAAAATCAGAGCAGGGTGACGTCACCCTCCTGTTTCGGTCGGGTGGGAAGAGGTGCACGGGCCTGCCCAAAAAAAAATCAGAGCAGGGTGATGTCATCCTCCTGCATCGGTGTTTCGCAGGGCTGCTTGGGAAGAGGTGTACGGGCAGGCGCAAACATCAGAGCAGGGTTTTACGGGCAGGCCCAAAAAAAATCAGAGCAGGGTGACGTCATCCTCCTGTTCGGTGTTTCGCAAGGGAGTCAAGGGCAGGGCGGGGCTTGTGCGGGGCTGCATTGGGGTCTGCGGTCGGGTTGAAGGTTTTGGCTTTAGGTGATGGTTTAGGGTTCAGGGTGTAGGGTTTCGGGTTTGGGGTTCAATGGGTCTTCGTCCCGCACAGCAGGGCGGCCATGCTGGTCTTTTCTTTTAGGAGGAGGGGGAGGGGGGGGGTCGCGAGGGGTTTCAAGAAAAGTGAGCAGGGTGACGTCACCCTTTCCTGTTTGGCAAGAGGCGGGGGAGGGTAGGGAATGTTTGGCGTAAAAAGCGAGAGCAGGGGGGGGGTAGGGTCAATGGGCAGTGATTCGCTGCTACTTGGACTGCGGCAGGCCAATTGGGCTCCGGCAGGTCAGGGTTGGTTTGTAGATGTATGACGCATCGTCGTCAACACCAGGAGAAGCGGCCTCGGCCACTATGGTCATGGCCACCGCCCTTGGACATGTCCTTACGTCCCACAGGAGAACTCATTCGGGGCCTACCAGAATGGTTGGTGGACCAGCTGCGGTGCAGGGGGCATGACATAGGGGCGGCAGGCTCGCTTTCTATCTCTCTCTCTCTCTCTCTCTCTGTTTTTTTCTTTCTCTGTCTGTCCCTGTCGTCTGTCTCTCGCTGTCTCTTTGTCTCTCTGTCTCTTGGTCTCTTCCTGTCTTCGTCTCTTCCTGTCTTTGTCTCTCTGTCTGTCTGCCTGTTTGTCTGTCTGTCTGTCTCTCTCTCTCTCTCTCTCTCTCTCTCTCTCTCTTCTCCGTCTCTCTCTCTCTCTCTCTCCCTCTCCCTCTCCCTCTCTGTCTCTTTCTCTCTGTCACTCTTTTTCTGTCTCTTCTGTCTCTGTTCGGGAAGATCCTTCACCCCTGGGCCCTCAACCCCACTGTAAGACATTTCCTCATCGCGCATCACTTTTTTACATTAGCCCCTGAAAGAGGTGCTTCCGACCACTGGTCGGCCAAGGACCTGCACAGTGCGTTGGCGAAAGGGTCTGTCTACAGCATGACCGGCAGTGTGTTCTGGGTCCATGTCGACTCAGGCCACACCGCTGTGCAGACGGTTTCATTTCTGGACTTGGTGCGGGCGTCCCGCACGCTTTTCCTCGGCGGTCGGTGGCCAATGGACTTGCCCATCCTCCTGCGTGCCTCAGAGGCCGCAGCATGGCAGGACAGAGCGTCCGGTCTCAAGCGCTGCCCATTGGTTGAGGGGCACGCGGTCGTGGCGGCTTTCTACATAGGTCTGGCGCGGTCCATCTTAGACCGCGATGTCGGCGCCATCCAGCAGTGGCTCGACTTGGCCGTGTGTGTGAAGCTGCAGGCCCATGACTTGGTTACATCGGCAGAGGACCCAGATGGGGCGGTCCGAAGTGCCATTTTGGGCCTGCAGTCGCAGGCACGGACGAGCACCCTCGTGTCATTGTCGTGCTCCTATATCTGCTGGCTTCGGCGTCTCGAGACGGTCCTGGAATCCCCGACATACAAGGGCTGCACGCTGGCGGAGCAGGTGGACCTCCTGAAAGAAAGGGACAAGATCCACTATGTGGATGGGCGCGAAATGAACCGCACCCTCTTGATCGGGAGCAAATCCGCTGTTGCCAGCTTCAAAGACACTGCCACATGCGACATCTTCTTGATGTTGGAGAGGCGCTGGGGCAGGACCTTGTTTTCTCTCCACTCGGTGTCTTGGGCAGCACTGGCAGACTACTAGCCGTTCTTGTTGATTGATTGTTGTGTGTTCATTGTGGGTTTACGGACTCTCTCTATGCCGGCTTCCTTGTCCGAAGCCAGGAAAAGCTCCGAATGCTTCTGAACGGCTGCAAAGCGGCGATGCCTGGCAGTCTCGCGTATGTGTTGGAGACAATGTATTTTCTGCTGCACTGTGGTCTTGTCCGGACAACGAAATTCACGACGCACAGTATGAACGCACTAAAGCACACCAGTTTCCTGGCGCTCACTCTCGGGGCAATGCTTCTGTTGTCTTCGCTGGAATCCAAAGCACGTGCAGAAGACGAGTCGCGAGCGACGGACGTCTTGGACGTCCTGGCCTTGTTTGCGCGGCCAGTGCGTCTCTTAGAGGGGGACAGGTATGTCCAGACCAGCCGTGTGGAGGAGGAGGAGGAAGAGGAGGAGCACGACGAGGACCCAGCTGAAAAACATGCTGGCGTCCAGCAGGATGATGAGGAGGAGGCGGAGCAGGGAAAGCCGCGCCGCCCAAGAGTGTCTTTGGGGTCATGGTTCGAGGACAAGGATGATCGCGCTCGCAAGTTGGCCGAGATCCTGCTGCAGGTCCTCTCCGGCGGATACGCGAGGGACATGGTCTTTTTGTCCAAGCACAATCGCTTTGGCTTCTTGGCCGAAGGGGCGAAGGTCCAGGTCGATTTGGCCGAAAAACTCTGGTCTGTTGTCGCGGAGGGCGGGGCCGAGCATGCTGCGGCGACCACTGCAGCAGAGGAGGCATTGGGGGACGATGCCCAAGTGAAGCGCTGGCTAGAGAAGCGGACACAGGTGTTGCAGCTCCCGTTCAAAAATCTCAAGACTGAGGCGGTGAGAGCTCAGCTGTGCGAATCCTTTTTGAAGGCGAAGAGACCGAATAAGGTGCTTTATGTTTGGAACGGCGACAGCATCCGGGAGAGGCCCAGCCAACCATGGACGCGCAGAGGTGCCTTTGGTCGGTTTTCAAAGAAAATCTTGAACAGTGTCTGCAAGATTGCGCAAGACATGGTCTCCAAGGGCGGCACCGTGGGCTTTTCGGACTACGCTGTCGCTGTGGGTTCAGACGGTGGCCTTCGATCGCAGAGGCTTGTCCTTGAAAAGAACAAGGTCTTCGGTCTGTCTGCGAAAGAGATCCTAGTCTCTCGCAGCCGCCGCGCCAAGAAGGAGACAACAAAGAAGCAGCGGGCCGAGGACGTACAACATGTTTATATAGCAGCTGCCCTGACCTCGAAAAAACAGAACCAAGTGTTCCTCAGAGGCGTGGCGGAGAAGATGGCGAGCTTCCAGGATCTGGGGTTTCATCGGCCCGCATTCCCCTTGGTCTCGTGCGAGGCCACTCGGTGGTCACCAGCAGAACTGTTATTGTAAAGAACTCCTTAAATGAAACTGACAGCCGAACCCTGCCTCTTCCCGGAGTCAAGGAAAAAACGGCGCTCATGGAGTGGAAAAAAACGCCAACCTGCTCGAGCCCCGTGTCCTGGAACAAGGAGAAGCTGCCCATGTTTTGGCGTGAGCGGAAGCCTTTGGAATGGTGGTCGACCTTGCTGGAGGCAGTGCAGCCAAATGCTGTGGTGGACTTCGCCCCAGGCTGCGGTCTGCCTCTTGCCTGCCTCCAGTCCGACGTGCCTTATGTCGCTCTGGCCTGGAATGCGTCGCACAAAGCGACCTTGGAAGCAATTTTGTTTGAAGCCGCCAAGAAGCACCTATCTGGTCGACCATTGCTGTGGTCCGAAGTTACGGGTGAGGAGGAGGGAGAGGACGCGGGCCTGGAAGAGGAGGAGGATGATGAGGACGAGGGCACCCAGAGTGATTCCCAGTAGCCCCACCGATGTCGGTCCGAGGACAGGTCGCCAGGCGCGCAGCCAGGATGACTTTGGCCAAGTTTTAGTCGCGGGTCTGCCAGAAAAAGGAGGCACCTATCGATCATTGAAGCCCTTGTTGCTCCTAGCCTCTCATGCTATGTTTTCTTGTGGCAGTGGCTGCCCAAATGCTGCTTCAGCCCGCTTCACTGCGCCCAGGTCCGATTCAAGGACAAGAAGAAGGACAGGCCAGCCCCAGACTCGACGTCGGACATCATTGGCTTGCCTCGCTTCTTGCGAACCACTTGGGCTTTTCCCGTTGCTGCCAGGTGCCAGCTCACGAGCATCAGCATCGCGTCTGCCGGCGTGCCGCTGCCATGCTTTAATTCACCCAGTCATGTCTCTTGAGTTCTTTCTGTGGACCATGGCACGGATGGGCTTGCTACATGATGGAACCCTTCCGGTCCAAGAACTGGTCTGGTCTTTTGTCTCTGTGCCATTGCGTTCCCGGGGCGCCATGGCCCAGCAAGATCCCCGTCCCGCAGAGCCTGGTGCAGAAGGGGCTATAGGTGATGTTGCGCAGGCCATGTGTAAGCAGGTGGTCTGGGTCCAAACAAACGTCGCGGCCTGGATCCAGAAAACGCAGTTTGCGCATGCGATGCTTGGTCCTGGTGGTCGCTTGGACACCTTGCCGCCCTTACAGATCGAAACACCCGGAACTGCTGGCGAGGCCTCGGGGCAGCCGAAAAAAAAAGCGAGAACAGCGACCTCCTTCAAGGAATCTTTGCTGCAGGTAAACAGTTCTTCTCACAGCCTGCCCTTCTTGAGAACAACAAGAAGTGAGTGCGCCGAGCAGCTGAGGAGATGTACCAGCGAGGCCATTGTGTGGAGGCCCTTCGGACCAGCGGCATGTACGAGGCTGGCTGTTCCATATTCTGGTTGGACGTCCTCGCGGACCTGAAAAACAACAAGCATTGCCAGCCAGGGTTCAGTGACATTTGCCAGCGCTCGGGATGCGTTGGCAGACATCCCGTGTCCCCTTCATTCATTGCCCCAAAGGCGCGCGTCGTCTTTTTACATTGTCCTGCTTTGCTGAGGTATGCGGACCTCTGGATGGCGGAAACGAAAGGTCGCTTGGTCTGTCCGGCGGTCCTCTTTGCCAGGGTCACGGACGAGAAGAGTGTGGACAAGCCTTGGGAATTGCTTGGCGGGTCAGGCGCTTCAAGTGAGAAATAGCCTCCATTGGTACTCTGCGAGAAAGGAAGATGTAGCAAGAAACATGAGAGCATGACCACTCCTTATGAAGTTAACCGACAGGCCTGCTGCTCGCGTTCTACTTGGTCTTGGCCCGGTCTGTGGACGGCCAGGACTGGGAGGTCGTGGACAAGCTGCTGTCAGCAGCCCTGAGCACCACCATCAGGGTCCACACGGGCAGGACCGACTCCGAGGACATCGCCAGGGTGAAGATGGACTGGCTGGGCCTGAGCAGGAAATTGGGCCAGCTGGCACCCAGTTTGTTGCTTTGGCTGCGCTGGTTCCATGAGGGCACTAAGGGTTGGGGTTTAGGCATGGACAGCAAGTCCCTCAAGCTCTTGGAGACCAAGAAGGTGCGGTACGAAGGCCGTGCGATCTCCAAGGAGAAGCTGGAGTTGGGCATCTTGGCCGGGACCCTCGGTCTTTGTGATGCAGACACGTGGTCGTCGGCCTGGTCACTGGAGCGGGAGTTTGGCAGGGGTCTGACGGACAACCAGGCAAAGTTGCTGATTCTCATGAGGGCCGCTAACAAGCACCACAAGGAGTACCCCATCAGCGAGAAGTGTGAGGCGCTGAGCCACGTTGATCCGAAGCAGATCCTGCTTTACTTCTTCCAGGTCTTGCTGGTGGCTTTCAGGTCGGAGTACGCCAACCTCGACGAGGACTTCCGTGAGGGCAACAGGCTAGAGACCTTCTTGTTGCTGATGTACATGAAGCTCAGCTTGGTCGCTTTGGCCAGCACCCTCATAGAGGTGTCGGACGTGGATGGCGACATCAAGAAGAAGCTTCAGCATGTGGTGGTCCTGTTTGCCTCCCCTCTGGAGTTCCAGAGCCACATGGATGCAGCAAGCTTCGACCCACACAGAGAGTTCTACACGAGTGTCTTTGGCAAGCCGGGCGACGCAGGGTCTTCGGTCAGTGACTCTTCGGTCAGTGACTCAATCGTGCTTGACTTCATCGCGGCTGTTTACCCACTCTTCGATGGTTCCAACGACGCGGCGGTGAAGAAGTGTTCCGAGGACATGACTCTGGCCGATTTTCCGGGCCATGTTTTCGAGGGAGGACACGGCAAGGGCTCGAAGGACGCCGACTTTGCACCTTGGCGACTGTGGTACAAAGCAATGCAGCAGCCCAGCCCCGATGCCTGTGTGTAACTTAGCTGCAAGCGTGTGAAGCTTACATGTGCTGCGCTCACTCGATGCTTGCGCAATTGTTGTGACATTTTCGTTCTTGCTTGCACCGAGGTCTTCCAGCTCCGTGATGAAACCGTCGGTGAGCCTCCTTCACAGGGCCAGCGCAGATGACCAGGCAACCAAGAAGAGCACCGAGCAGGTCTGGAAGGATGTGCAGAAAAAGAGGAAGGCCAAGGCCCAGGTCAACCTTTTAAAGCCGGACTACACTTCCCAGGAGGTCCGGGGCCTCTACGAAGCCTTCAAAAAAAGAGCGGCCAAGCAGAAGGTCGGCGAGGCTCAGCACTTGATCGTTTTCAGCGGCGACTTGATCGGAGAGCCTGCGGAGAAGCCTTGGCTAGGAGCTCCTCCGGCAAATGACGTCTTGGAGAAGAGCTCTCGTCTTCTGGCCTGTCTCGCTGGCATGAAGGGCAAGGCCGACATCGTGGTCGCGTTCGATGGGGAGTCTCGAGCACAACAGCGGCAGATCCAGGATGCGCTGGGCGCCGACGCTATGGAGTGCATCCTGCTGCTGAGCCGCTCGGCCTCCTTAAGGGTGTTTTGGCACGTGGAAGAGTTGGGTCCCCCAGGACTCTTCTTTGCATGAGCAGCCCAGGTGGTGAAGGCGTGCTCGGAGAATTCGTCGGCAAAACCGACGACAGCAAGAAGAAGCCGGGAGAAGAGCAGTCGGGAAAACACCCGTTGGGGAGAGTGGAACACGGGTATTTTGCAGGGAGGACGCTGAACTGTTTGAAGGCCTGTGACTTCGACTGGTCTCAGTTCGTGAAGCAGACTATCCCGGTCAAATTGCCCCTCCTGAGTGTCAAGGATAAGGGTGCCAACGGCGGTCAATGTCAGGTCCCGGAAGGATGGGACAAGCCAGGCGCCCCATTCTTCTGGCGGGAGAGCAAGTCCGCGGACTTTTGGACCCAGCTCCTGGCGGCGCTCTGCATCAGCGATGTCTTCGACATGACGGCGTCGACCCAACTGCTCAAGGCATCGGTCCAGTCGGACGTGGCCTACACAGGTTTGACATCGTCTGGGTCGGTACATGCGAAGTGGCTCACGGATTTTGCGGACAGAGAATTCTTGAAGGTTCTCGCGAACGAGGAGACGGACCTGGCGCAAACCATCGCGGAGCTCTTCGGGGACAGCCTGGAGTCTGAGGAAGAAGACGACGAAGGCGAGGAAGACACGGCGGAAAAAGCAGAGAAGGACGAAGAGCAAAAAGAAGAAGAAACCGATGCCGGCAAGTCGTGAGGGCCGGTCACAAGGGCCTGGTCAGGAGCCATGCACAGTCAACAAGTGTTTTGTTCTTAGATGGCCATACGTCGTGGCCTGCTGCCTCTAGCGCTCATAGTGGTGGTCCCGAGGCTTTTAGAGAGACTCGCTTTCAAAGCGGTGCCACGTGGTCCGAAAGTTCCTCTCCGGTTGTTGTGAACACACACATCCTAAACTCCAAAGAGCCTTGTAGTGTCATCGTCACAACATGGAATGGACTCAGCCGAATAAATCCACAGGCGTCTCGGATCGGGCCCCAGACGCACCAAAGCTTGCACGGTGAGCAAAAGCAAGACGGCAGTTTTCCTGAAAGCTGTGCCTCCTGAGGCTACTTGAATTCATTGGCAGCTGTGCTCGTCGCAGCATGAGACACCCAATGTTCGCTCTGCTTCAGCCATTTGGCTGGCCTTTTGTTTTTTTCGGGTCCTGGGGAAAGGATGGGTCCGAGCAGGTGGTCCGCAGTGATGGCTGGGCCCCCCCCTGGACAAACGCGCGGTCTGCAGACGTCCGGGACAGCAGCCGGTCTGAAGAAGAAGCAGGTGTCGGCACGTTTCCAGAGGTCACGGGCCGCCTCTCCAGCAGTCACTGCCAAACCATGTCCTTCCGGACAAAAGAAGGACGAGAAGAAGGACGAGACTGCCTTTGCGAAATGGCAGCGCTACAAGTGCCAGTGGATTGCGAGGCGTCTGGAAGTCCAAACATGACATGCTTCCCTGGACCATCACACCTCTCATGTGCGCCGTTTTCCTTCAGGTATGGCACCTTCAAGCACCAGAGCGGCAACAGGACCATGGTGACAACATGGCTGACAGAGCGTCCGGCGCATTTTCCCGGTCAGTGGGCCTTAGGCTGTGTTGTGTGCAACGCGTTCGAGAAGCGTGCCCGTGAACACACGTCCAGACACAGACGTTGCAGCACGAAGTGGTCTAGGTTCGAGGTGCTACTTGGCAGCGGTTTCACCTCTGTTGTCTGCAGTCGACAGTCAGTCACTCATGCATGGTTTGCTTTAATCACACGGCTTTGTCATTCGAGGCGCGGCCGCCTTTCGATGCAGCCTTCGTGTTTCATTTTGCACTCGCGGAGCACCCTGCACAAGACCGCGGTCGCAGGCTTCTTGATGCCAGACGCTCCAGTCTCCAAGGTTTTGGTCTCGCAGCCAGACGTGGACTTGCTGCGCGGAGGCGTCCCTCAGGTATGCGACTGGGTGCGAGTTTGGAAATATGTCGGCTTGACCTCAATCAGATCTTCAGACGCTTTGTCTGCATTTGTTTGGTCCTCGTCCCGAGACCCAGCTGACCCCAACACACAAAACGAAAATCGTGGCTCAGGAAGGCCTGCTGCAAATGGAGGCGGACCTCTCACACGCGCAAGGAAGAGTCAGAGGTGGGGGACGGGCGCAGATTCGGCAAATGATCGAGATCATGGCCGACTCGATCCGGGCCCGGGTCAAGGCCAACCTCTTCAACGCTGCCTGCGTGTCTTTGCTTGTGGACGACAAGGAACCGTGGCGGGTTGTCCGATACAAGTGCTCCGTGGTCCAGAGGTCCGGGCAAGGGTCGAGCATCGTCAAAACAGAGCGTGGTCTGTTAGGACTCGTGCTCTGGTTGCAATTGACTTCTTGAAGAGGCAAGAAAAAAAGTGTTGGCGTTTGTGATGCTGGTCACGAGCATCCGAGGTTCCGATGCGAGGAGGCAGCCTGAGCGACGTCGACGAAGACTTCGGTGTGAAGCTTTGCCAAGGCATTTGTGGACTGTTGTCGACCATCTGCACAAATGCTGATGGTGATTTTTGCTCCGAATCGCACCTGGGTGGCACGTATTATTTGCATGCATAACAACTCTTCAGCGCGTTGGTTTCCCAGCAGACGGGCCCCGGCTGTTGGCGGGCACTCCCTTACCTCGTTCGTGAGAGAAGAAGATTGAGATACTGGTTTGACGGTCCCCTTCTGGCGGGCCCCGTTTGGCGGGCCCCGTCAGGCGGGCCCCGTCTGGCGGGCCCCGTCTGGCGGGCCCCGCTTGGCGGGCCCCGTCCGGCGGGTCCCGTGTGATGAACCCCCACTCGCAACAGAGGTCAATTCAAGTCAAGTTCGTGTAAAAAGTCAGGTGTGGCGAAAAGCTCTTGTGATTTCATTGGTTGTTTTGATGATTCCTGTAAACAAAGACTGCCTGCATCGTTTGACGGGGCCCGTCTGGCGGGCCCCGTCTGGCGGGCCCCGTCTGACGGGCCCCGTCTGGCGGGCCCCGTCTGGCTGGGACGAGCCACTGCTACACTACTGTGGGTGCAGTCAGGTCCACCTTCTTATAACTTAATTGCCTTTCTGAAAGCTCCTGTAAACCCGATGCTTCCACTTGACGGGACCCGTCGCGGGACCCGTCGGACGGGTCCCGGCGACGGGGCCCGGCAAGTACACGCTGGACAGAGGAATGAATGCAAGTTTTTGTTGACAGATTCTTACACATCGATGTCAACTTCCTCACAATCAGCCCACCGGACCGGACGGGTCCCGTCAGACGGGCCCCGCCAGACGGGTCCCGCCAGACGGGGCCCGTCAGACGGGGCCCGCCAGACGGGGCCCGCCAGACGGGGCCCGTCAGACGGGGCCCGTCGCAGGGGATTAGAATGGATACCTTTCTATATGTATTTCCCACAAAAAAAACACGTATATACACACAGACACATATACATATATATATATAATAAGTATGCATATATATATATATACATGAAAGATACAGTACTTCAGGAAGGGCACGGGTGATGGAGGGGAAGCAAGAAGGGAGGGTGGGAGGTCGAGCTCTGCGGGGCATGGGAGGGCAGAAAAAGTGGAAGGAGAATGTCAGGGTGGTAGGCACGAACCCGTGTAGGCACCTTGTCGCTAGGGCGTTTTGTTTTTACCACCCAACCCACAGCAGAGAGATTCTGTGAGTGTTTTGCATGATGGACCGAGGTACGCGCAGGTTTGTGACAAGGTCATGGCCATCACCGCAGACGGTGCGTCAAGCATGCAGAAGGGTCTGAAGTACTTGCAGGTCGGCTTCAAGAACGCAAGCTTGTTATGCCGGGACCCATGCCACACCATAAGAATTGCTTGTGGCAAGCCGGCAAAGCTCGAGGAAGAATTTGAGAAATGGTGGTACGACATTTATTTGCGGCCAAAGACAGCACTGGTGCCCCAGCTACAGCACTCGGAAAAAATGCGATTCGAACTGATGGCGTGCCAGCTTCTTAGCTGCATCCAGTTTGTCCTGCAAAGTTGACATACTCGCAGCACCGGCGCTTGGTAGTGTTAGTGTGTGTGTGTGTGTGTTTTTTTTGTATTTCCGCTTGTTCTTTGTTGTCACTTGAGGAAGTTGATCTTGGACACCGACGGCAAGCAAGGGGCTGGTTTGACCAAAATCTTGAGGCACTTGAGCTTTGCGGCTCACCGCTGGGAGTCCACGGTTTGTCCGCAGCGGCGATACGTTTTGCTTCAGAGTGCCATCGCACTGTTCTTGTCGGTCAGGGCCACGGACAAAAGGCTGGAAGCCAAGGAGCGGCTGCTTGCGGCCAACCGTCTCCGGGAAATGGGTCCGAGGCATGCAGCTATGGCCGGAATGAGTGCCGATTGGGGTCAAGATGTGGGTCACCTGGTCAAACTCTTTGAGAAGACCGACCATGACATTGCCTTGTCCAGGTCGCACATCAACGACTTTCTGCTTCGAGTT